GAGGGACACCACTCGTCACTGGCCTCCACTCCACTTAAAAACTGTTAAAGAAAAATTAAGGCTCCCTCCTTGTCTGTCCCACTTACCCAGATCTATATGCACTAGTTCTGCTGTTTGTTCGTCTATCAAGATATTCTGAACATGTCTGTCTCCAAGCCCAAGGATGTAGCCAACTGAAACAAAAAGGGAAGTGCTGAAACCATATTTATGTGCCATAAAAACTGGGGAAAATTCAACAAAGAGATGATTATTAGAATCAGTATAACATGTGCAAACAAATTAAAAGTGAGAATATTTCTTCCCCCATGTATACATATTATTCCAGTAAAGAGCAGATGCCATTCCACAAATCCAGAAGGAAAAGGTTAACTGAATGCAATTGCAAAAGGTTATTCTCATACAGATGTGTATTGTTTCGTCTCCTCCACAGACTTCTTGCCTATTTCTCTCTGTAGACAGGTTAAGCAAACAATTTCACAGCTTAAAAAAAAGAAAAAGCAAGTGCATAATAAAATTTGTGGGTTTTATTATAAATATTTTTTAAAAAAACCTTTTAACTCACTATCATGTAATCCAGAAAACAGGACAGGACATAATTCAGTCCATAACCCGGCTGGGGCAGCTCAACAATATGTAAACAGTTCCCAAGTGATTCTTGTCTAAATAGGTTTTAAAAATTTCCAGTGATACAAATTCTAAGATCTTTCATGCAAGCCTATTTCAGCGCTTTACTGCCCTTAAATGTAGGAAACCTCCAAACTACATCTCCCTTGCTGCAATTTACACCTCTTACTGTTTTTCTACCAGCTGATGGACAGGGATAGCAGTAGGATTTCCTACAAAAATCTTTTGTCTGAGTTCTGCTAAACCATAGATTTACTTCATTATTTTTCAGCAAAAAGGAGTGTATAAACAACACATGTCTAAAATAGGATCCACTGCAATGTAGACAATCTCCTATCAAATGTCTTCTAGAGACTCAATATAGAACTGAGTAATTCACAATCCAAGTACATAAGTTTTGTTATTACGACAGAAAAATCAAATGCCAGAGCTTAAATAACCATTTCAGCCACGGCTAATGATGCCAAGGAAGTAAAAGATTTAAGCTTTTCCACTCAGTTAAAACATTTGAGGCTATAGATGAAATGAATAAACGTTAAATTAAAACAACAGAATTAGTTAGGTAGAAACTTTAAAAAAAACCAAGCAGAACCTAAAAATACAGTCCACTCTCTAAAACAAACACAGAATTTCGTTCTATCTTTCGACTGCAGAAAGAGGGGTGGGGAGGAATGAACAAGAAATCTCGATTACAAAAATAATGCTGGTGTTCTTGCTGGCATTTTTTGGCCCCTACTCCCCCCTTTTCTGACACGTGACAAAAGCAGAATAGCCATTACCTCTGAAATGGTATAAACTCTTTGTTTACACAGTCTAAAGAAACACTGATAACAATCCAATATAATACCTATAGAAGATGTAGCCACACTGCGAGTGTACGCCAAGCGTTTTTCAAACCACACAGCTGGATCCAGGAATTTTTCCATGCAGAAATAACGAAACACAGGCTGAAAATTCTCGCAGACTTTCATGAAGATGCTATACTTCTCTTCAGAATGTTTCTTTTGTGCATCCTTTAAACACATAAGAAATGTTTTCCCCATGACTGACTGCTTTGGAAGGACATTACCTCTTCCCTGGAAAGAAATACATTCCTCCTCTGTACCTCCCTACCCTCCATCAAATGCTGTTCTCACTCCTTTCTCTGAGCTGTGAATCAAGGGCTATTTACAGCAAGCATTAATGAACCTATTTATCTGTTTCACTAAGCAATTCTATTTTCATACACAACTCATGGGCTACCTGGAACAAACACACTCCTGTTTCTTTGGTTCACCAGGTGCATGTATACGCACATACAGGTAAATGCATCCTGGTGGCAGACACTTCCCCTTGCGCTCTGTTCCGGTACCTTTGCTTATCTGATGGCTTCACATCACTGCGAGAAAGTCATTCTCACTCACTCACAAGCAAAAGCTGCACAAAGCCAAATTAAACATACTTTTATCCTGTTAATACTACACTGATTTAAAACTAAATTTCTTGCACAGTCATGGCTATATAAAGTAACAGGTAAACCTTCTTGCAATTTTCTAAATGTACAGTGAAGCGGTTTGTAGAACTAAACTGAACTAGAAGTCTGAAGATCTATTAATTCCATGCCACTGGTCATATTCATTATTGCATACTAAAAGTATAATATATAATTCTCCATAAATTCCACCCCCTCAGTAAGGAATATGAGCCAGCAATTTTTTTTTTTTAGTTATTTCAACTCACCATCATTATTTTCTGGCACTGATAACTGGAGTAATCTTTTGGCCTGTATCTCTTGTGAGCTCCCTCTTCAACGTTCACAAGAAACTCCCCAATGGGAGTTGTTCCCGAGCACCACTCCAGAACACCACTTCTCTGAGAAAGGGGAACCACCTGTGAACACAAAACCACTGCTGCATGGGGGAGGCTTATACACACACACAACTATGGACACACATGCTGCAGAGCGTGGGTGCACATTTCTGCTCATTTAAAAAGACAAAAGACCGAACCATACAGCTGACCACAATATATGGTCTAAATATACATGTATCCATCTATAAAATACACTCAAGGCTTTTTCTATCAAATAGATGCAAATTTCTTCCTAGCCCAGAGAACCTTCTACGAGGTACTTCAGTAGTACCTTAATGATTCTACTGAATTTGCATGTTTGCATTGGTACACTGGATGGCATGGGATTGCCAACAGGTTACTACGCTTGAATGGGAGAACACAAGCATTGTGCAAATTGCACACAAAAAGTAAAATCTGGAACAAACACACGGTAGCTGTGTGAACATATCAGGCTTGTCTTAGTCTGCTTCCCCTCCTGGGGACAGCTGCTCACTTCATAACTGGCTGTACTAGTTACCTCAATTGCTGCAGCAGACAGAACTGGGCAGAATGAACAATCTCCTGATCTCAGAGGAATAGCTGCTGCCTCTTTCCTTCGATTTGCTTTTCTTACAAAGTCTCTCCATCTCATAACGCAGCCCCCATTCTCCTTTTCCCTGCTCTCATTCATTTTTACACACATGAAAATCTGAGTCTTCAATGAAAATTAATCAAAAACTGTGACTCTTAACTCCATCTCAGAATTCTTAAAACTACGCTAGCACTTCAGACAAGCTCCTTCAGAGATTCTGGCATGCACATTGGATATTTGTCAAAGACAAGAACTCTTACTTAGAGAGCACTTATCCAGAGGTCACCTTCACAGCTATTACCATAACCCCAAGCACATAAAAAGTAAAGGAGGAGGGGAAAGTTCCTGTTCAAATACATTTTCTGCATTCACAATTAGAATTTATTCCTCTATTCCCAGTTCCAACAAAAACAGTTCTGCAATTCAAATTCTGCATGAACAGACCCTAGATGGGACTTCTGGATTCAATTGTGAGGAACACTGCAAGAATAAAATGAATTCTTAAATAATTAAGGAATACTGCAAAACTAAAATTAATGAGAATTCATAAAAAAACTCTTATGCTCAAGTTTAATGACTAGCAACTTACAATTCAAGGATAGTGCATGACTTAATTCCTTTTCAATTATAAGTTCATATAAAGAATCCTTTGAAGAGTATTTAAATATATATTGGGCATCAGAACTTTTTGGAAAAAATAAATTGGAATAATTATTGTAATTGTAATAATTAAATTGCATTAATTGTTTATTCCATATCTTAAGGAGCAGTGACTATTTTAATAACACATAAATAAACACACTTTTAAATTGTCTTTGGGTTAAAAAGAGGAGAATGGGGAAATATGCTTTATTGGTAGCCTTTATTCCTCTGCTGCAGCAGCTGCTCAGGATTACCTTGTATCTGCGGATAGTTAATTTTCTCTTTCGCGTTTCAGTGTTTTGCTGGAGCAACGTATTGCACATCTGGAAAACCTGCTGCATAACAGCATCTTGTCTCAGGTCATCACGCCCCTTCAGCAAAAACAGAAAAAGCAGTTTCAGAACACTTTTCAGCATCCAACTTCTTGTTCAGCAACTTTAAAAAATTCCATAAAACACAAGTTACTTCTCCACAATAATCACCTGTAATCAAATGTAATTAACAATTGTTATTTCTCTGTATTTGGTCTTTTAATAGCGCTCAGCTGCTTAAGCAGAACCATCATTAATTTAAATCATCACAGAATACAGAATGGTTTGGACTGGAAGGGACCTTAAAGATCATCTAGTTCCAACCCCGCTGCCATCAGCAGGGACACCTTCCACTAGACCAGGTTGCTCAAAGCCTCATCCAGCCTGGCCTTAAACACTTCCAGGGAGGGGGCATCCACAGCTTCCTTGGGCAACCTGTTCCAGTGTCTGACCACCCTCACAGGAAATAATTTCTTCCTAATATCTCATCTAAATTTACCCTCTTCCAGCTTATACCCATTACCCCTTCTTCTTTCACTACCTGCCTTTGCAAAAAGTCCTTCCCCAGCCTTTCTGTAGCCACTTCAGGTACTGGAAGGCCGCTATAGGATCTCCCTGGAGCCTTTGTAGCTTTCTTTTCTCCAGGCTGAACAGCCCCAACTCTCTCAGCCTGTCCTCATAGGAGAGGTGCTTCAGCCCTTGGATCATCCTCATGGCCTCACTCCAGTAGGTCCATGTCTTTCTTGTGTTGGAGGCTCCAGAACTGGACACAGCACTCCAGGTGGGGTCTCACCACAGCAGAGTAGAGCGGGAGAATCACCTCCCTCGACCTGCTGGCCACACTTCTCTTGATGCAGCCCAGGATACAGTTATTGGCCTTCTGGGCTGCGAGAGCACACTGCTGGCTCACGTTCAGCTTCTCATCCACCA